GTTTGTTCACAATGAGTGTTCAGAGTTTGGATCAACGATGTCTTAGATTTATAGTTTGTTCATAAAGAATGTTCAGAGTTTGGATCAACGATGTTGTAGATTTATAGTTTGTTCATAATGAATGTTCAGAGTTTGGATCAACGATGTCTTAGATTTATAGTTTGTTCACAATGAATGTTCAGAGTTTGGATCAACGATGTCTTAGATTTATAGTTTGTTCACAATGAATGTTCAGAGTTTGGATCAACGATGTTTTAGATTTATAGTTTGTTCATAAAGAATGTTCAGAGTTTGGATCAACGATGTTGTAGATTTATAGTTTGTTCATAATGAATGTTCAGAGTTTGGATCAACGATGTCTTAGATTTATAGTTTGTTCATAATGAATGTTCAGAGTTTGGATCAACAATGTTGTAGATTTATAGTTTGTTCACAATGAATGTTCAGAGTTTGGATCAACGATGTTGTAGATTTATAGTTTGTTCATAATGAATGTTCAGAGTTTGGATCAACGATGTCTTAGATTTATAGTTTGTTCACAATGAATGTTCAGAGTTTGGATCAACGATGTTTTAGATTTATAGTTTGTTCATAAAGAATGTTCAGAGTTTGGATCAACGATGTCTTAGATATATAATTTGTTCATTTGGATTCAGGAGATTTTCACTTAGTTGGGAATTGGTATTTGGATAGGCTGACATAGCATTAATGACATAACTATTGTTTAAAACACACACAAACTACTATTTGTATAAGAAAGAAGAATGAGTTAGCTTTGTTAGCTGTGAGTTTGAAAAGGCCTAGGAGTGCTTATTTTGTTTAATCTTTGTTCATGTTACATTATAGAATGATTATCATTCATGCAAGTTAAGAAGTTTTTTGATAACAAACAGAATTGTTTGTTAATATTTGTATTTCACTCCATTTAATCAGTTCTTTTTATTGCATCACTGTTTATTATATGATGCTTTATATTACATTTGACTACTCCTGAGGATTTGGCTATTTTCAAAATGTAAACAAAAAATAGCTGAAAGACATTGTCATATAGTTATGTTACAGGAAAATACAATATTACAAAATTGGATCTGATCCTTTTTTCCATATAGGAACTTGTTTTATTCAACTTTTTTTGCACAAATAAAATCACAATACAAACTAGCAGGAGCTTAAAAATTAATTGACGATTGCAGGAGAACAGCACATGGATGCCAAAGACATGTAAGGAATATTTACTAAACATGTTCAAAAAAGTACAACTTTCTTTCACCTGGATATCAAAATGTTTGTAATGGTTATAATTTAAACTAGGCCAGAAAAAGTGAAACCAAAAGAACAAACAAGGAAGATTGATTTCTTTAACATAACTTTCAAACAACTTATTTTAAGAAAAAGTTTTTCAGATCATACAACAAAATAGGTAAACTTTTAATAGAGGAAAATACAAAACAAACAAGAACCAAAAACAAAGTACCTATAAAAAATCCACTGTACTTGTGAAAAAGTCTGCCTTAAACAAACTAAAATGATGCATTCAAGTTAGGCTGAAAGAACCTAAAAACCTACTGCAAAAAAAAAAGTTAATTTGAAGAATTGACAATCACATGGTGGACTCAGACCACCAGATAAATTGGTCAGGTGCCAAAAATCGTCCCTTAACTGAAATATAATAAAGTAGTATCAGAGAAACAACTGAAATTAACAAAAGAAAAAAACTTGATGCTGAAAATGACAAAGGTTCTGAATTGTATATACTGTTGGAAAATGTATTTTATAATTAAGAAATGATAGTTTGTAGAAGGAGTTACCAACAGCTTAAACCTATAATATTTTTTCAGCCACTTTGTGCTACTATATTAAGAGTAAAAAACATAGAAACTGAGGCTTTTGGGCAAAGTGAAAGGTAAAATTTTTATCGTTACTGACAGCCGACTAGGTTTCGTCACACGGTTACCATCATCAGGGCTAATAGGCCTAGGTTAAATTGTAACCCTTACATTTTGAATCAGCTGATGAATGAAGTTGTACTTCTCCGAACATGTTGAATAATGTTTACTTAGGTTTTTAGAATCCATATTTTAATTGTTTTCTTCTAATGTAAATAAAATAATGACCTTATATCTCCAGAATATATCTTTATTAACTTAATATTTTACTCTTACAGCTTTGTCAGAAGATATAGATAACTTGCAAGTTTGTTCATCAAATTCTTTTCTTTTAAGCTTTATTTATCGTGTGTTTGTATAGTGATTTTATTCACAAAAAAAACAATGGTTGAACAAAAAGAGTTACCACTTAGAATATCAAGATACTTCAAGATCTGTTTGCTCGTGTTGTCATGTATCTTCACTGTTAAGGTGTGCCGTATAATTAGAGAACAGTCTGCATCTTAGACAAAAAATTTCTTCCTGAATAGAATGAAGACCCCAATTGGTATTTTCTGTATACAGAATTCTCTTATAACAGTTTATCAGTTACCAAAGAAGGGGAGATTTTACTTACAAATCTACAAGATGTGGCTATTATAGACAAAACTCTCTTTCCCCAGAGTAAGTACTTTTTGATTTTAATACTGTATTCGTATCATTCCCCAAAATTTTATAATCTATTTATTCATTAAAGAAAGTGTTGTGTTTAGTACTTTTTATTGTTTTTGTGAACATTAGCGATATAAGTTCTATTGAATTTTCCATTTTTGATAAATATAAGCATTTGTGACAAAGTGCTAAGTGTTTTTTTGTAAGTGTAACAACCATGAATATCATTCGACAGTTGTTAAAGTTCTTACGTACAAAGTTGTCTCTGCGCGAGCAAATATCAATATAGTGTGGTAAAAGGTGTTTTAATAAATAGTTTGAATGTAAAAAATTGATGTCTAAGTATTCAGTTAAATGAAACAGCAGAATTATATCAAAATGAACACTATTATGCTACCCATAAAACTTGTGAAAATATTACTGGATATTAATCTAGTTGAAAAGCGGATCAATTATATACAACAAAGATAAAGGAAAAATTCGGTGCTCTTTTTCAACTTTATAGAAACAAAGCTCGAACTGTCTGTCTGTCTATTTACTTCTTTTTTTACTTTTTGTTATACAAGTACATTTTTATTCATAGCAGAGGACCTGATTTCAGGGACTAACGAGCGATTGTGCAATGACATTTGCTTCCAGAAGTTTACTCGGGATATCTTGACAAGCCCAAACGTTACTGGTGTATGTTCCCAGCTGAGACACTACGGACAGTTGATGTATGCTATTGTATGTAAACAGATTCTTTCAGATCTGGAGGAGCACAAGACGGAGGGATTCTTTAATTATGACGGAAACAAAGATCAACAAAAATCTGAGTACTCTGGTAAGTAAAGGTTAAAAGTTAACATTTTCATTCTTCCCGAGCCTCTTTAATATCAATAATTGGTCCAGTCTCCTTCCCATTTACTCGAAGTATAGCTTCTCATATCTGTAGTTTAGCAAGTCATTTTCAGGCACAAAAGACATGCCTTTTGAATCAAGCACCTCTTCTGAAGTTGTCAGTGGTAAAAGTTTCTGTTGGGGATCTTGTTTTGTAAGTTGTCCTTAAGTTTAGAAACAAAGTCTTTGAGGTGTTTGTGCAGAGTTACACTGATCTCTACATACATTACACTAGGACAACCAGTGGAATTTCTAGGATTTTTTATTGGGGGATAAGGGGGTAAAGAATTAGCTTGGGGGGAGGTTGAAGATAAAATATTGTGACGACAGCGGAAGTCAAGTGACGCTGGTAGCACAGGTTGAGAGTTTTAGAAGTTTCTAGAACAGGCAGTATTATCATATATAAGTGCACTAGACAGTGAGAGAGACAGAGGGAGTCGAAGCAGTAGTGGAGACAGAGACGAAACAGGCAGAAAGAAAGAAAGACAGCGATTACAGTTGGCGGGAACTTAGGATAGCAGACACAGAGATCAGAACTATAGTTTGAGGGGACGGACAATTAATTCTAAGTACGATAGAAAGTGAGTGAATTGTTGTGAACTATAGTGTGTGTAACTGTGAAAATTAAGTACATTACAAAGTTGTATTGAGGAAAAATAAACAAGTTTTATAAAGAAAGGACTTGTATCTCAGAAGAATTAACAAACAAACATACAGAGACGTAACAATATTTTTGTCAGTAGGAGTCACAATGTAAAGGATTTTAAAATCATAAACTATTTCATGTTTCATGAACTTTGATGCTAAGGTACTCAGTAAAAAAACTATCAGGTAAGGACTTTCTCACTTTAGCTGGACCCCAGCACCATTTGTTCGTACACTCATTGTTTTCATAATGTGTACTCCAGTGGTCCTTCAAATCTCATAATAACTCTATGAACTTTTCTATCATCCATGTCATAGTTCCTAAGAAGATAAGTATTTTCAGGTTGTAATCAGTAGTCTTCGCAAACACAATGATTTCGTCAGTGACTCAAGTATTGGAGCTTTCAATATACATACATAAAGATTCTCTTAGTGCAATGATTTCATCAGTGACTCAAGTATTGGAGCTTTCAATATACATACATAAAAATTCTCTTAGTGCAATGATTTCGTCAGTGACTCAAGTATTGGAGCTTTCAATATACATACATAAAAATTCTCTTAGTGCAATGATTTCATCAGTGACTCAAGTATTGGAGCTTTCAATATACATACATAAAGATTCTCTTAGTGCAATGATTTCGTCAGTGACTCAAGTATTGGAGATTTCAATATACATACATAAAAATTCTCTTAGTTTTAAAACTATCTTATATTGATTCACTTATTGTACTCTTTAACCCAACGTTTAACCCAGCATTCAAATCACTTGAGTCATATCCGTTTAGTTTCAGTAATGTTAGCAAGGAACTATACATCATAATTAGTCTTTGCTTCGCCAATACATCCCTCAGTGGGTCAGTAGTATGTTTATGAACTAACAATGCTATAATTTAGGATTCAATTCTTCACAGTGGACAGAGTGTAAAGAACCCATTGTGTAGCTCTATGCTCAAGCAATCACAACCCGAGGTATTACTAGGTGCTGGCACACGGGTCCCCTGCCCCAGTTCT